CACGACGACGATCTACTTCCTGACTAAAGCTGCCTGAGTACAAAACCAAGCGATAATTCGTGCAGATCATGCAAATTAGGTTAAGTACGCCAAGGTAAATAAAAGTGTCACAGGTATCTCACACATACGTGGGACACTCCGACCCGGAGACGCTCAGTCTCATTACGAATTCGGTTTTCTATCTTTAAACACCCATAGACTTGTTCCTCCGGATACGATGCAACTTCTTGGTTCCGTGGTTAGTCGCAAACGTGAATATTCTTGATGGTGGTCCAACTGGCTTCGCTGACATGCTTGGATTCCACGTTCAGATCCGTGTCACGACCAATTGACAACGAACTACGTTATCGTCTATTTCGACTTCACACCTATTTTGTTGGGGTCTTCGCGGTCCGAAGTTTAAATTGGCAGTAAACAGCAGGTCACCGTCACTACGCTATTTACCCTTTCCTCTGTTCACCGCAATCCGGTGTTTCATAAGAAAAACCATTGTGTTGGGATTGAAAATAATTTCGCTCCAAGAACGACTACCCGGTCCAGGTGAAGTAACTCCGCATGCATTAAAACAAATGTGCATCGATTTGCGATAGTCTATCGCAGATGTGCTCGACAGTCAAATTTTCTAGTTCTGCTAACCACATTTTCATTCTACACCACATGTTAAAACAGCAGTGCATTTTCTGTCTATCCTATTTATAAAGCAACTACAATTGGTCAGATTGTTGTTCATTGACGCCTTTTGCTATCCTCTTTGTTCCTCCAGATTTACACCCACATCGTCCGGTCCGAATTCCTACGGAAAGAGCCAGTTTGGGTTCATCGATCGCAGAGCCCTGCTGAATCGCCAAACTGAAGCGCTGAATGAAATCGCTTCAAACGAAGATGTTTAACATCCTTTAGTGAACTGTTGAACTTGGAAGTCACTCACTACCCGTCTTTTACTTTTTTGTTGTCTTTTTTGTAAATATGTCGAATGTTCATACTGGGTCGTCTCATTTACGATTTCCACTAAAGTACTTATTAACGTATTATTATATTCACACCGGTTGAAGCGATGTGTTTTTAAGACCACACAATCAGTGTTGTGTCGAACTATACATAATATATATATATATATGGTATGCAGTTATATCAGTTGGTTTTGTGACCGGCCATATCTCTCAAGTGGTCCAGTCCCAGTTTGGTGCGTACTCTGCGTTGCTGGTGACTGATCAGAATGAAAAACAGACCGGCCGATACTCGTGCATTCAGCTCCACCGTCTGTACGTCATGATGTGACGGCACTTCACCCCATCGTTTCACCTGAAAATAAGCAAGGAGGATGAGAAAGGTGAAAAAAGCTAAATACATGTGTTTGTGACATATAACTAAAGCTGTTGTTTCACGGTAAAAGTTCACTTTGAGCATGACCAAATGTGAAACCTAAGAGTATTATGCAGCAATTTTTGTGAGAACTAAAGATAATAATAACGTGTTCCAGTTAGCAATTGTGTGACGTTCAGTCCGTGCTAATACACAGACGTACGGATTTTGCTCCTTAAAAATTCTTTCGTTTTCACTCATTGCATGAAATTTTCTTGCGACAGGGACACTCAAATGCGCATTTCTGACGAGTACCTCAAGGGGAACAGCTTTCTCGTGCTGTTCATCGACATTCGCACGAAACTGACCTCTTCGGACGGCAGCCAAATGCAGTCCCCGCTGGCTTTGGCTTGTTTATCGATTAATTAATTGGAACTAGATTTCGTGCACAATATGGTCGTAACGATCTTACAGTGAAGCGACACTTTTAGACGTTTAAGGTGAAAGCCGTAAACCAATTACCACCAGGGGTGAGTGATAAGGAAGAGTTGGTGAGCAGCAAGATCTCCACTGCAGATATTTTAACCACCAACATTGTTGTATGATGACAGGACACTAGATTTACCTCACAGCTATTCCGATGGAGTATCTAAGATCCAGTTGGCGAGACACATACGATAAGGTGATAATAAGTGAGGAGTTGTCGACTGAGAATCAAAACATGAAATCTCTTCTTGGAAACAACTCCTTTTCTGACAGGGATATCTGTCCCAAACGTAGAGCAACAGGTGCACAAGTAAGTGGCTTATCATAAGCGAGGTTCTCACAAATCCACCGCCAAGAAAATCAGGCAAAAACGCGGGCGTACCTGAAACATTAATTCCAGTTGACTGAGCTCCACTGCTCGCACAGAGGAACAGAATCCGTCGACCATGGCTAGTGTAAGGAAGACTGACTTCAAATTATCCACGCATGATTGTAAGCCTGCAATCGGAGACAAAATGGAGTCGGAAGTTGGGTACAATTAGTAGTTAGTACCTTGTATATTTTAGTTAATGATGGATGGCGGGACAGTATCATGCCTATTTGGGAACAACTAAATGTTTCACTAAAAGGGGGGAAATGTCTACCACGTCGAAATAGCTACTTTTCAGTGAGACATTCAGTTCTTGCCCAGGTCGACGAGCAAACGATTCCTAAGACTAAGCGTTTGTTTCGTCTATCAGTTCATGCGGTTTTACCAATTATAACGAAATCGTACACATACGTGATCACACAGAACCGGGTAAGCCATTTTTCAAAAACAATGCTCATGCTGTCAGAATCAGTGAGACCAACGGCAAGTTCCTCCTGGAACTAACATCCGACGACCGATCACCAACGAGAGGATTAGTCGAAGAATATTCCCCGTCAGATTGGTTTTCG